ATTCTCTTCACGATATCTCCTTTATAGATTGGATTTCACAGATTAGATATTATGGGTAAGATGATTAGAAGAGGAAAGAAAATTGCCCCTCCCCAATTTATAGGCAGAAGCACACAAATGCATGCTGGGATTTCTTTCTAGCCAATAAAATAGACCGGTTCTTGGTTTCATAAGACTCAGTCCCGGTTCGTTTATCCGATTTACCTCTTAATTAGGAACTTTTCACCATATTACTGTTGTTTTGCCTTATTGCTATTCATTAGCCTTGCATATATTGTTTGTTTGCTTGCTTTATCGTTTCGGCCTGGTTCTTTTCTTTTTTCTTGTTATTGCTTATATTGTAAACTATGTCGATTCTGTTTGATGGTTAGTTCTGTCATTTCTTTTACATTTAACCATGGCCAGACATAACCTAACACTGTCTTCTTAAAAGCACCTTTTTTTTTATTATTTTGAGTGAATTGAAGAAAGAAAAGGAAATTTTCATATTTGTTCAATGGCAACAAATTGTATGTAAATAAAACAATCCATTTATGTATTGATTTTCTTTTTGAATTTCGTTATTTTAAATGGACTTTTTCTTTCTCTGCTGTAATGTAGTGTTAATGTTAATAGTGTGCTAAATTTTAATAACGTCTTACAACAGAGAGATACGTTTTACACATTTTTTTATGTTCGATAGCTTTGTACATTTTTACTAAAATCAACGAAATAAAATTGTGAAATTAAGTGCAGTCTCTTTGTTGACAGTTTATCCTATATTTCATCCATTTTACTACATTTTAGTGAAATACGCATACGTACTAGTATGCACATCACGTGATCATATTAATATTTTCTGACCAATTAAAATTCAGCATTCAAAAGCTTACAACGTGGTCTTCGATACATTTGTAATAATTTGAAGCATATCCAAATTCAAATCTAATAAATATTCATTTTAGAACCAATAAGAAAAGCTTCTTTCGAGCTAAAAACTTTTTTTTAATTCAGACTTCAAATGATTAAGCGGACAACACCTGGATAAGTTACTATAGTTTGAAAAGCAACACCTTTCTTAGATTTATGGACCAATCATAACGACTCTCGAAAAGTGATTACCTGATTCAACTAACGTTCATATAAAGAACGCTGTCCGCCAGAGACGAACGAACGGACTCTATTCTGAGTCCGTTCGTTCGTCTCCTCGGGCCGTACAGAGAAAGAGAGAGATGGAGAGAGATAGGCAGGCAGACAGGGAGAGTGAGAAAGAGAAATACATGCACATATACATTATGTCACCGAGTAAACAAGTCGTCCAGTCAAATGTCCATTTTACAACTTACCTACACATACATACACTCACAGCGTTCGTATGACTTCGTTTTTCTAATAAGTGACAGTAATTTCTTGCTTAATAAGAATGTACATTTCATTTTACACTGTCTTGAAAAACAAAGATTTTGTATCATTTATTAAAATAATTATTTTAACTATTATTCAAACGACAGCTTCTTTCGTCTTCTCGTTTTTTTTTTTTTTTTTTGTTTCTTGTTTTTGTTCTTGTTTTTTATTATTTCCTGTGTTTTTGTTCACGCATTGTTTGAATTTGATTTCAACCTTTTGTTTCCAATCAATTATCACAAAGTTTATATTTTTGTTGGTTCAAGACAATTTTATCTGAAGTTGGAGTTTAAATTGTTGGAATTTCGAAAATATACAAAATAGGAACATGACAAAAAAATTAAATTTGGTTTTTTCATTTGGAGCCTATCTCCGACCTATATAAGGACGCACTAGGAGTGCGCACAAGAGGACTCCGTCATATAGGACATCAGTGAATGGAGTCGTCCGTTTATGTAAATAAGCGGAGTTAGCATTAGATCAACCTTCGTGTAGTAAACCTTCTATTTCATTACTTACAAGTTTGTCTTCATCATTATTTCTCTCTGTTATCTCGAAAACACGAGATACAACAGACTCGCAGCAAGCACGTACAGGAGCGGACGAGTCGCATTCAATTACTCAGTTCAGATTGAAGAAAACCTTCTCATTCGGGCACCCACGCTGTACGGAAAGCTCGATCCAAATGAGATAAAATACGCCGACCACAAAAAAGAAATTCCCTGAGTTACTTCTATCCATAAGTATATGCATATAGACTCACATACAAACATATATTACTCACAGACACACACGTCCGTATTTGCAAGGACATTTGTTTTCCTGGACTCTTTTTCTGTATACTCTTTACGAACTCTCTTTAAAACTTCTGAGGACGCCTTTTCTCTTTCACTTTACTATTACGATTGCTCTTCTTATTAAACTGTATTCAAATTTGCTCGATGGCGGTGTTTTATTCTTCGTTTGGAGCATGCTAAATATCGCTTGCCCTTTCTTTCTCTTGTTTGCTTTCCGCTCAAGGGAATTAGAAAAAAAAACACCTTCATTTGGCCGTCAAAATAAGGCCAGCAGAAGAATCTACCCACGTGGGTAGATTGTTCTAATTCTGATAAAAACTAAATAAAGCGTTCCGTTTGAAATTCCAACGTTTATCATCTGAAGAAGTCTGTTCTTATTTATTGGAAGTAATTTGAATCTTTTGACCCGTTATCGTTCTCATTCATCCGTGACGTGGGTTCATTCCTTTGCAACGTGGTCTCCAAAACAACGACAATCTTCAGAGAGGACTACTTACAAGGGCACTCGATTGGCGAAAACAACCTCCCTCTCCCACTCGCTAATCTATCTATCTATCTAATTCGCACGCTAAATCAGGTCACACAGTTCATTACAGATTTCTTCTTATATGTACTGTAGCGCTTCATGATATGGGCAATCATGGCTCTCCACAGCTTCTCCTTTGCAGGTCTAGGCAATCCCTCCATTCCCGGCTCCGCAAATATTCACTCAAACTCGTTAAGTAGGTTACTCGCTGTTTCTCCTCTGCTTCTCTTGCCATCAATATGTCCTGTGAGTGTTAAATTCTCCATGCCCTCTTTCTTGTTGCTCTAAGTAACTTTTGACCTTTTAACATCTTTCTTTGTCCTTGTTCTGCTATCCATTCACTCAAACTCGTCAAGTAGGTTACTCACTGTTTCCCCTATGCTTCTCTTGCCTTCAATATGTCCTGTGAGTGTTAAATTCTCCATGCCCTCTTTCTTGTTGCTCTAAGTAACTTTTGACCCTTTACCTTCCTTCTTTGTCCTTGTTCTGTTATCCATTCACTCAAACTCGTTAAGTAGGTTACTCGCTGTTTCCCCTCTGCTTCTCTTGCCTTCAATACGTCCTGTGAGTGTTAAATTCTCCATGCCCTACTTCATCAATATGTGTCTCAGAAATTTAAAGTATTTCTTTCTAATTCTAAATATCCGTGTCTTACGTTACCCCCTCCCCGAAAAAAAACAAAACTTTCTGCCTATTTTCAGCGTCCTTCTGTAGAATTGTATAGCTGTTGCCTCAAGTTTCTTCTTCATCTGTGAGGTAATTGTCGACACTTCACTTCTGTGCAGCACGACTGATTACCCAGCCGTTCAGGACTCTTTGTTTTTACCGACTTTTCTTTTTGTCTCATGGACGCTGTCGTTTTCTCCCACATCAATTTATTTTCGTTTATTTTTATTTCCTAGTTCCGTACTTGTCACTTCCCTGACGGCAAAAACTAGTCAAATTTCATTAGAAAACAGATTCAGTTTAAATACAGGAGTCATAAATATGACTTCAAAGGGCTGCAGATTTTTTTTTCTTTTTTTCCTTTACCCAGGGATTGTTGCTAGACAAAAATGAAAATTAGCAGATGTTGGTTTCAATTTCATTCAGATTATGACTACGTTTCCTTGTATGCATATATATATTAATTCAATAATGGAGTTTAAAATATTTCTACAAATTAAAAATGAAATCTTTAAGGAGACAATTCTATTTTTTAGCAAATAATTTCCGTGAAGTTTAATAAAATCTTATAATTATCTGATTTTTTTTAATGGTGAAAAAAATTAATTATTTTTTGGCCTCCAACTTTATAATTTCTATTGTTCTGCCCTGGCTAAGTGTTGTCCAGACATACATTATTCCAATGTCTTATTTAAAACTCATCAAATTGTTTGTTTGTTTGTGTGTGTGTGTGTGTGTGTGTATGTGCTTGCGTGCCCATTAATTTTATTCAATTTAATTTAAATGATACAAGCACCTGTAAGTCACACATGCACAATACAGACAGACACATTCATATTTATTACGCGCATGCGAAAGTTTGTAACAGACAGATAATAATTTTTTTTGTAATATAAATTAAGAATTTATTTCTTAGAATGTCCAGAAAAAAAAATGTCGAAGAAATGTCATAATTTGGAATCCTTTCCATCTCGGTTGATGACTAATGCAATGAAAACTCTCACCCCCAAAACTATTTTTGTCTATTATTACTCCTATGTTTTCTTTATACTGGCAAAAAGTGCTCTAAATAATTCAAATACTTACAGGACCGAGATTTACAGCCAATTACATTCGACTGGTTTGCTGCTTTTAACAACAAACTCAACCGACTGAAAAAATATACATCTCTGATAAGAAGTAGACATAATTTACATTTTTTTTTTTTACATATCAGAGCAATTATTATGTACTAAAATTATTTAGACACTGTTTTACAATTTATTATTAAAAAAGAGAATAAAAAGCAAGTAAAAAAAGGGGGAGGATATGACGTGATTTAATGGAGAAATATTAAAGAAAAAGAAAAGAAAGTTTTCTGGCCACGTTGTCATTTTTGCGTCTACGGTGTTTCCCTTGTAGTAGTAGTAGTAGTAGCAGTGGTAGTAGTGAGACTCAGCTTCCCATTTTAACAACGTGGCACTGCAATCCATTCCGCATCTTAAATCTCAAGTATTTTTTTTCCATTGAACGGGGGAGAGGGTGAGGTGTGGATGCCTGTATTTAAATAAGAGCGCACCGCACTCACTCGCATTTGCTGGTCTGACTTTCATCATCACAGTAATTACCAACAACAACACCACCTGACTATGGCTGCATTTTACAACCCTCTACTGATACTTTTTGTATTTGCCTCCACCTTATGCCTGATTAAGGTTTGTACTATAAATTCAAATTTCACACAAGGAAATAAGCTTCTTGATGTTTTTTCTTACAATCTCTTTGTCATGTCGACAACTTTTTGGTCGTAGAAACGTTAAGGCCACAGCGATAAACTTTAATGAAAAAATGCTAACCAAGGCATTTTTTTAATAACTAAATCTTTTGACTGAAGATATTTTTTAATTTATAATTTCGGTTAAATAAATAAATAGGAACAGAGTTTATTTTGTATATGCATTGTATATATAATTAGAAACAGAAAACAACATTTTCTGGGGATTTTTTTTTTTTTTTTAGTCTTTGATGACTCGACTAAAAATATTTTTTCTCTGGTCTCCCATTATTAAAACTAAAACTTACTGAAAATATTTTTCAGAATGGACTTTTTACTTCACAATTTTCAGTAAAAAAAAAAAAATAAAATCAGAATTTTATTTAATTGCTTTTTTTTTTTTCCTGTGGAAGAACTTTTCTCATCGACTACTGAACACCAAGTTTTCATTTTTAAAAATCCCTTGTAATTTTAATGGAAAAAATATCTCAAAATTAAGTTTACTTTTACAGTCTTTACTTTAAATACTACTTTGAGATAAGATTTTTTTTTTTCTTCTCGAGTGAAACCATTACTTAATTTCTTTTAAAACAGTAGATTACAACACAACAAATAACTCATTAGAAAAATCACAAACTCAAACGATTAGGGAAAATTCTAGCGACTGATTAGTAAACCGATTTATCAAAACAAAATCCCCCCCACACACACCATCGCTGTTGTTTTCCTGATTGTCTTTGAATTTCCTGCTGATGCAGATATTTTTTAAGAAAAAACGTTTGTGAAATAAAGTCAAGAGGATAAACCAAAATACGTGCTTTGCTTTAAAAGGTAGTTTTTTTTTGTTTTTTTTAAAGTAATTGATTTTTAAAAAACACTAATGAATCTTTCTTTTGAGTTTTGATGTAAAAATGCTACAATATTTCAACATTTGTAACTGACAATTTGAGCAACAATAAAGTAAAGATCTGGGCCTGAAAAAGAACGAAAAAAAAAAGATAAATCGGGTGTTGTAAAAACAAAAAATGTTTGAACCGCTAAAATCGACACTGGCAGAGAAAAAAAATTTTCTTGTAGGCTGAGCCAAAAAAATGTAAACTAATAAACATTTCCGACCCTGACGTGCGTAACAATTGTATGAATTTTGCTGAGTCTTGTATAAAAGTATTTTTTTTTAATCTTCTTACCTAATTGGATAAGTAAAAGTACTTAAATAACTAAAAATAAACACGGATTAGTGACATTCCCCGACATTTTTTTTAATTATTCTCTCTACAGACTCTCTCTAGTCTAATTTAAAAAAAAAAAAAACATAAAAGAGTAACAATTGACAATTTACAAGCAAAAAGCGCAACTTGTTTCTCTGAAGCCGGGTTTGCGCTTACAACGCTTTCACATTTTGCATGGCACTAGAAATTTACTTCCGCAATATAAATTGGTTCCTACAATTATGACTTGAGTTTGATCCTCATTGGGTACTCTCTACTTATGGCCTTATGCCACTTCTAAGCTACGCTTAGTAAATCACAAATTTGTTGCTAATTCGTCAATTTGGAGTATTAAGTTTTTAGTTTCAACGTTAACGGTTAACCCTGATTTACACCCCCTTAACCCCAACACCCATGGGTTTTTTTTTTTTTTTTCCTTTTAATATCCAACTTCACATTCAGGGTTTGTTTTTAGCTTTTAAGATAAAATGAAAATAATATTTGTCCGAAATAGAATTTTTTAACAACTATTCTTAATTCTGTAAGTAAATAAATATTGAAATTTCTTTTTCAATGAAGAATAGGGCAGATAAATATTTTATTTTTTACGGCTTATCAACCCTTTTTTGGTTAAAGCCGAAATATATTGTTTTTGCTCACAAAACAATGAAAAAATTGACCTTTTCTAATTGTGGCAATATTTCCGTGCCATATCCATTCGTTTGTGGAATGAAATCTTTGACTGGCACCGTTTTTGGTTTCGTAGTTTCTATTTTGTGTTTCTGTTCCAAACGATTTCTATATCACCATCTTCCTCCTCCTCCTCTTGGAATTGCTTCGCCAGTCGATGAGGCAACTTTTGAAGGCGAATCTAAAGGAGGTAAATCTGTGTTTGTTATGCAAAAATTGTTTGAAACAGTAAATTTAATAGAATTTTAGCATGACTAAGTTGACGTTTCTAAATGTTTCAAACGATGTACAAAAGTCTCAATAAGATATTGTGGCATTTTATTTTTGAGACATCAGTTCTGTCATTTATTTTATTTATTTATTTATTTTTTTTTTTCTACAAATGCTTTTTCTCTTTTTTTTTTCTTTAATTTTTTCAATCCTTTCACCCCAAGCAAGGCAATAAAGTCACTAAGAAACAAGGGGATTGCTGTGGATGAAAGGCATTACTGAAATGAAAGGACAAGGAAACAAAAGATTATGATTGACACTGCATTTACACTAAATACACAGACATTGGCTTTTAATCAAGTTAAAGGCAAAAGAGGAAATAAAGATAGACTTTAATTTTTTTAATTTCATTAATCTGTTTTCATGTGTCATTTTTTTTTATCTGTGTGTCTGTTTTTTTTTTTTTTTTTTTTGTGGTTATTTTGAATCCTATGACTCTTATCATTTTTTGGGAACTGATAGGAATCTTTTATGACTTAGAAGCTATTTATGTTCTTCTCTCTCACTGTTTCAATTAGAAATCACCACCAAGAAACATTAGATTTTAGATATTAAAAAAAAATTGCATCTTTTCTTCCCTATTTTTTTTATCCACTAAATTTTTATTTTTACAAATTAGATAAAAAAAATAAAAAATATCTCAAAATTTGTATTTGTGATTTCACTGTCTCTACCAATATGCTTGGATTTGAAAAAATCCCTGGAAGGTATTTCGTGTTGGGGACTTTGGCTCAAATTATGCTGTAAATATTGGAAGATATAAGTGAAATTTTGAAAAATGTTTTTTTCCTCCCACTCAGTGACCTGCCACTTTTGTTCTCTTTCTCTCTTTTTTTTTTTTTTTATGAGTCAACTCCCATCTCTCCCGTTTCTAAAACAATGTTTATAATGGAGGACTCTGCTCCTAAAATTTACTTAATTTCTATATTCTTTGTCTGTGTCTCTAGATCCACCCAGTTTGATTTCCTAATTTCAGAAATTTTTGTTTTGATTTTTGAAAAAAGCAGTTTCTTAAACAATATTTGTGTGTATGTGTTTCTTTTTCTTAATGAAAAGATTTTTTTTCTACTGTATATTGTCTTGTTTTCAAAGTGGCTTTTCTGAATTTTTTTTTTTTTCCGTTTATCTAATCTTTTTTACTTTTTATTTTAATCCAGTAAACTGTGATTTATTTTTATTTTTTTTTCCTTTATTTTAAGGCTGGAGAAACAACTGTCTCCAAAAAAGTATTTTTTGACATTAAAATTGGGGGCGAAAAAGTTGGTAGGATTGTGTTTGGTTTGTTTATGGAGACAAACCCCAAAACAGCTGAAAATTTTTACCAATTGGCTGTTGGCACTCCTGGTTTTGGCTACAAAGGCAGCAAATTCCACCGTGTTATTAAGGATTTCATGATTCAAGGTAAATTTGTTTTCAATTCTTTCAACTTCTTGCTAATTTCTGATGTTAACTGGCCCCTATCAAGGTTACCAATATCTGTAACAGCTTTTTATTTATTAGTACTGCTTGAATTGTAAATTAATCATATTCACTCAGCCACACTACAATGTGTTTTGGATTGAGATGGATTATCATACTTTGAAATCTGTGTGAGTGTGTGTATTTGTGTGTGTGAGTATGTATATTTATGTATGTATGCATTTAAGGAGGCACAGTGGATAGCAGCTCTGATTGAAGAATCAGAGAGCTGAGTTTGAATTCCAATCGAATCCACTACATTCACTTATGTGCTAAATACCCTTGGGAAAGGTATGAATCCTCTTCTTCTCCATCCAGCTATGGTTAAATAGCAGGGCAGACTGGGTTCTATAGCCTTGGATGGCAACTGGTCTAGAGGGGCACAACTCTGAATTCAAAACCTGCGGAGGGTCGTTTGTGGCATGTAGTGTCCCAGGTCTATGTATTCAGCCTTTCAAAAAGTGTGGTAGGTTTTGCACAAAGCCTTCACCACTATCATCAAATCATATTCGCAGCGTCGCTGGTTTCTGGCTGCTTGACCGTCATACTTCGAATACGACGGGAGAATCCATCATATGCATTTATGTATGTGTATTTATGTTCTCTCATAAGTTCTTGGTTCATTTCAATGTTTGTTTTTGGAATCAATTTTATAAGAGAAGTAAAAAAAAAAAAAATAGTAACCTGTTACAAAGAATCTGGCTTTACAAAGGCAGACAACCAAACGTATCTTTTCCTCAAGGGCAATAACCCATCTTTCATACGAGCGATTAGAGCTCTTTACAGGTTCTATTCTCTGAGCGGTTCAGAATATCCAAGTGTGCATATGTTTTGTCGAGAAATCAGGAACATAAGAAAAATCTATCGAAGTGTAAATATCATAACATTAATACTAAGAAAGTACACGAGTGTCATCAACCCGAAAACAAAACCGATTTCAAATTTTAGCTAAGATCACAGTCAAGTAGACTTTAAATGATATTTATCTGAGCCTGAAATGCTGTCACTTTTATCATTCCCAGTAAAATCGAGAGGTGAAAACTTCAAAACAACAACCCAATGTCAACAAGTAGGTATTGTGTTTTAAAATGAATGCACAAAATCAGAGAGACAGATAACGTTTGTAGGCAACCATTTCTCATGGGACACATGAATCTGAAAAATGAGAATAAAAATGATTTTCATTTTGAATAATTAAAAAATGTCTCTTTATTTCTCCATTTTTGATTAATCCTTTTATATTATTTAATCTGCTATGTCAAAGCCAAAACTTGTCACAGGATTTTCCTAATATTAAAGCAGAATTTTATTTTGTCTTTTGTGTATTTTTTGTTATATATTATGAAATGGACCAAGTCCAACAATTATTATTTTAATTCATTTATTTTTATGTTATTTATATAGACACAAATATTTGTATCTATAAAAATAACATAAACAATAAATATATTAAAATAATTGTTGGACATAGTCCATTTCATAATATATGATGACATTTGTTTATATTAGGATTCACTTCAAGCAGATATGAGCATTCAAGAGAAATCATTAGAAATTTGTAGTTTAAAAATAGTAATTCAACCTTGCTAACCAGACACTTCCCCATCACATCAGGCTATATAATGGTTCTGTGTAGGATACAGGTTCACTTCATGTTGGAGAACTCATATTTTCTATGAAATTTCTCAGACATTTAGACCAGTTTATTATAAACAAAATATTTACTTATATAAAATAACATAAAATAATATATATAAACAATATATATATATATATATATATATATATATATATATATATATATATAAAACAAATGGTAAACTTTAAAAACATCTACAGTGATTCAGAATTGAGTAATTAATCTAAACCTATAAAAAGTCTAACTATAATAATCATTTACTAAGTTTGACTTGGTTTAGGCATCATGTCACAAGTATGAGCCACCTGGTGAGAATCACACTAGTACACCAGCTCATTAACCATTACACCACAACCAGGTACATTAACCAAATTTTTATGAAGTATAGGTAGATAGGTTTTCCTATCATCCAGTTCAAACTCCTCCCCAATTTTTTGAACAAGAGTAGGAGTTTCTCTTGTTTGCTGTTTAGGATTGGGTTTCCAGTCACTTCTAAAGTCTACATCAACTATAATGTCTCGACCTGAACTCTGAAATTTTACTTGCTAATTAAATCTTGACCTCTTCAAGTCAAGAATTAGCTATCTTTCCAGTTATCTTGCCCTTTCTTATGCTAATACAAATTCACACACAGTAACCCTCTACATTGAGTGGTTCTTAGGCCTTGTAAACGGGGAACATTAGTAAAAAAAAAAAAAAAAATTAAAGATTAATGAATTATTTTATGTCCTATATATAGTTTTAAAATCTCCACATTTGCATTACCTGAAGAAAATTCAAGTCCTAAAACTCAATCATAAAACTTTTTTTTTTTTTTTTTTTTTTTTTTTTTTGAAGGTCTAAAAATACATATGAAATCAAATTGGCATTTGTTAAATTTTTTTGCAGGTGGAGATTTTACCTCACAGGATGGCAGAGGAGGTGAAAGCATTTATGGTAAATATTTTGATGATGAGAATTTCATTCTTAGTCACTATGGAGCCGGTTGGTTGAGTATGGCCAATGCAGGTAAGATACTTAATCTATGATTTACCTTTCTTTTTTTTTTTTTTTTTTTTTTTTTTTTTTTCTTTTTTTTTTTCTTTTGATTTTCAACATTTTTTTTTTTTTCTGTGCCTTCATGAATTTAAGAATGCAGAATAATGGGATTGAGATTTTTATATTGAGACAAAATATGAAAAGCATTCCTCCAAAATATGAAAAGCATTCCTCCAAAATATGAAAAGCATTCCTCCAAAATATGAAAAGCATTCCTCCAAAATATGAAAAGCATTCCTCCAAAATGAAAATTGATGAATTTCAGGGAGACTGATAAAACCTGATCAGAATGGAATAACTGTTTTATTTAACCTTTATCACACTCTGTGACTTTATCACACTCTGTGACTTTATTTGCTGTACAAAAAGTTTATCTTGTCACTGAAGGTGACTCTGATTCCTGAACAATACTGTGATTTGAATTTCATAGTTGTGTTGTCATATCCTGCTGTGACAACAGAAAACAAGTTTGAGTGAAATTAACAATAAGGTTACTGCAATTTAGAGGCCTTGAAAAAGAATGCAGTGGAAAGGGAAGTGATATTAATAATACAGAATTCTAAAGGTACAAAGAATTTATTAACATAATTGTTAGCCAGAAGGCTTTGTGGCCTCACCAGTAAAGCAGCCGTCATATGAAGGCAGGCTTCAAGAGAAAAGGGACTTAAGTTCAAGTACCACTAAAGGTAATTTCTTTATTTCCCATGTCTGTTACCAATAGCTATATAATGCTTACAGTTTGTAAATTGCAATAAAAGCAACTGACATTAAAATGGAAGAAATGCTTATTAACCTTTATCCAATTGAATTTGTTTGAATTTCATAGTTGTGTTGCCATATCCTGCTTTGGCAACAGAAAACACCTTTAAGTGAAATTAACAATAAGGATAGTGCAATTGAGAGGCCTTAAAAAAAGATTGCAGTGGAAAGGGAAGTAATATTAATAATGAAGAGTGCTAAAGGTTAATAATAAACTAATAATAGTTTTACTTTGTGTATGTGATATTCATATGAATATATAAAAAAAGATAAGTTATCTGATAAGTTTATTTGGTGCTGCTCTGTGAAATTATGTGAGGGGGAGGGATAAGGAAAAATTCATTTCTTTCAAAATTCTAAAATGGGTATTCAGAAAATCTTTATGGTACAAGACCCACACCTCCTCTGTTGGCTGATACTAATAAACTACAATTACTCAAATAATGAGAATATTTGTGAATAATTATTCAGAAAAAAATTTCAAGATGTTTGTTTTCATAATTAAAATAATCCATGAAATGTATCCATTTTAAAATAAAAATAATGAAGTATACAATCACCATTATAATCTTTTATTTTGCATCTATACACAGAAAGCTATTATTATGAATTTTTACCAAGAATTTTAAATTTAATTGCCAATGAAAATTGCTTTTTGACATTTTTATTTTTTCTTTATAATTTGAAAGTTGGACAATTACTGTAAATTGCAATGTACAAGTAGTTTTCAAGCTTAAAACCTTTTTGGGTTACAAATTTTTGTCAATGGTAGCCTACCATATGTTTGATGGGGGGGATCAACCTGAACGGCAGGTATAGGGCTAAATTGTAATTTTGAGCTAAAAATCTTGAGGTTGACTTGTACACCACAATTTATGGTATACAGTTTTATTTCTACTTGTATCTGAAAGCTCAGATCATAAAATTGAATTTCTGTATTCTTTTCTTGAAATCAGGTGTAGATACAAATGGCTCACAGTTTTTCATCACCTGTGTTGAGACACCTTGGCTGAATGGATCTCATACCGTATTTGGGAAAGTTCTTTCTGGAATGGAAGTTGTAAGGAAAATTGAAGCAACACCAACAAATGAATCGGACAGACCTTTAAAAGATGTTATCATTGAAGACTGTGGTAGTCTGCCAGTTGACAAACCATTTGATGTTGAAAAAGCAGCTGTAAAAGAAGATTGAATTCCGTCACCATTCTATATTTTTTGATTTCCTCACCAAAACAATTTACCAGTTTCTCTCACTTTCTCCCTCATATATATATATATATATATATATATATATATATGTGTGTGTGTGTGTGTATATGTTTTTAAGGTATGCTATATTTATGGGTAAAAGTGCTCAATATCAGAGATAGAACATATGAAAGTGGACACTGAAGTCAACACCAAATCATTTGCTGTTGTCCTCGATGTCCACTTATCAATATATATATATATATATATATATATATATATATATATATATATATATAATAGCTCTATTATATTACATCGAAAGCACTGTTTTATTAATGCTAGCACTATATGAGCAATATATATATATATATATATATATATATGTTAGAATCAAACAGGGTTGTCAGACCATACTATTTTGAAAGCTCAGTGCCAAGAAATTTTGAATTTCACCATTTGTCACAGTTTAAATTTTCTTTTTCTTTAAGAAAGTCAATTCAAAATTGATTTGTACTGAGCTTTCAAATCTAACGACTTCTTAGCTCAATCTGGCAACTCTGTGATTGAATGGAAGTGATTTTAAGCAATAATCTTATTAGCAATCGGTATTTAATCAAACATGTGAACATAAATGAGTACTGTACTTTATTTATATGGCTTACAAACTGAAAAAAAAGATATTAGAATATTGTTTAGCATGACAAATATATTGACTTTAAATTAGTTCATTAGTATGACTTTTCAGACCAAGAAATGCACCATTTTCTTTTAGTCCTATATATTTTTATATTTTTATAACTGTCAAGAATTTTTATTTCTTTGTAGAAATTTATTTTCAATTCCGTATATATGGGCAACAATTGTTTATTTTAAATAAGTTTTGTTAAATGCAATAGACATTTTGTGTCTAATAAAAAAAATCATTGAATGTAAATGACAATTTCTATTGCGTTTAACAAAAATTCATTTTGTATAAAATAATCTAATTTTTGTTATAGATGCAAGGATAATTTTTTTCTTTTCAAATGGAATAATTTCAAGTGTAATTTATTATAAACTAAATAATATATACTGTAAAACTACTTCTCAACAGTCCTTTCTCTAAAATGAAAACCTCAAAATTACTAACAATAAAAAGGCCATTGTTTAGTGGTACAAGCTTCTACCTTTTCACTTTGAGTCTTTTGGTATTTTTAGTTAGCCCCCATGAAATTAAAGATTCCTTCAAATATTTTGTATCACAGTCTAAATTCAATATATATTCATTTAAATCAATGATAATTATTATATCTATGCACAAAATGTTTTAAATGCAAATGACCAACAAGTCTTATCTTAATGATAGTATTGTTAAGATAAAACATATTTAGCTATGCAAATAATTCTTCCTCTTGAAATAAATTTGACATCACCAAATCAATTTCTAAATAAAAAGCCATCAATTTGATGACTCACCCAAATTTTTAGGGTTTTACCTAAAATTGTATACCAATTCCAAATATCCACTGAGCAAGAATATTACAAAGACAGGAATTCAGGATCTTATTTTATTAACACAATTTAGTTATTGTGTATTCTACAAATAACATTTTGATAGTTGAATAAGAATAAAAAATAAAATGCAAAATTTCTAAAAATGCTGCTGTACAGTTTAACACAGATTTACACTGTAAATATTTTTAACTGCAATAATAAATAGTTTGTACTCTTCCATAAATATGTACAGTAATATTTTTTAACTGTAACCAACTTGTATATAAAGGTAATTACAAACTGTTTTCATACTAAAATTTATATTTTGTTAAATCAAAATTATTTGGTCAGATTGTATTATTTTTATATTTTGTCTTTTGATTTATTTTTGTTTTCATCTTAGGTTGCTAATTTTTAAAATGAAATTCTTTAGAATTTTAGGCAGCTATAGAAAATAAAGAATTAAACAAAAGTTTAACTGTTTATTTTCTCTTTGCCTTTTCTAGCCAGACTGTTTTTATTTTTTCACTTTTATTAATGCCAGTCATTTGTGATAAAATTTCTATTGTACAGTAAAACAGCATAAAACAAAAATCCAATTCTGATCCAATCATTTCAGATTAAAATATTCATAACCAATTTATCTCTTAAAATTGAGATAAAAGGTAAGGTTTTATTTAAAGATTACTTTTTATAATTTTTGATTTTGATCTTCAAGAATTGAATTTTAAATTCAAAACCTTTTTTAGTTTATTTCAAACTTGTATTAAAAATCTATTTCCTGGATTTTGTTTTATGGCATGAAAAACTGAATTCATAAAATTACAAAATATTTTAATTCCTATTAAATTTTAGCTATGCAGCAAATATCTCACCAAAAATAATTTTGTACATTTCCAATTTTCTATATGAGAAAAAAAACACAATTCATATTTTTGTATTTTTTTCTTTTTTAAGCACAAAATTATTTCCTCCTTATATTGATAAAAAAATGCTTCATGTGTTCCTTAATTGTTTTAGGAATAAAACCCACCTCTTAAACTGCAATATTTTCATATAAATTTGTTTCATTAACATTTAAAGATTATTAACTGTGTGTTATCGTATATTGTCATTGAACAAAAAGTCTTTATTTTTTCTAGGAATCTGAATCATTGGCCTTTTATTCCGGCCACTTACTCAAGTAACTTGTCTCTTTTTCAAAATGAGGCAAAATCAAAGTAGATCATCTATGTCACAAACTGTTCTACAAGTAGACATTATATATATATATATATATATATATATATATATATATATATATATATATATATATATATATAGGCAGCATGTTTTCATTAAGACATGTCACATTAAATAATTTAGACAAGTTTTGTCTACTTATTTTTAATATGATCCTCTTATATTCACAAACAAGCTTCTTAGTATCCTTATTAAAAGAAGAAAGAAAATTACCATATTGATGCATATTCATTTATTCAGAGTACTTTCAACATTAGCAAAATGTCATCTTCAGGGTCTTGTTTTATCCAAGACAAATTTGTGTTCATCTGAAAATTAATTTTTTTTATTTGTGAAGTGAAAAAATACTAAACTTATGTACTATACGATTTTTTAATTTTATGATGTAAGCATGCTCAGCCAGTAATGTCAAGGGAGGTAACTAAGTTATTAATTTTTTTTTTTTTTTTTAATTATTTAAAGCTTATATATACCTGTTCTCTATAACATAATAGCAGTAGCAAGAAATTTAGTATTGGGTTGATCATATTTTTCTCTTTCTAATGAGTGTGACTTTCAGTAGTCACAGCCACACTCTTTGTTTGGCTTGAATTCTTAAAACAAATGTCAAAGATAATAAACTAACACAGCTGAACATTAAACACAAAAAAATATCAGGTTAAATGAATGCTGCTATAAGTGAGACGTCCATTGTACAGTTTATTAATAAATTAATAAGACAATAACTAATCTTAATTTCTGGGTATTTGCTGGTTACCTTTTCTTGGCAGAGTGCGTTAACACTGGAATAAATGTTTGTGCTGATGCTAAATGTTGTTTGTAAATTCCAATCTCTCATTATTTCAATCAATATCACCATAACCAAACTCTGGCACTGAAGTCTTCTGATTAAATCAAAGACTAACATTTTAATCTGAGTGACATAAGAAAACTTGAAAATGACAAATCTCAAACATAAAATAAAGTATCTTTTTTTTTTCTATTTCATTAATGCTAATTTTTTTAAGCATAGCTTAGATGTGGCACAAGGCCAAATGTATGAGGCATCCAGTGAGGATGGAAATACATATTCAGTCAGAATTGATCTAGTGAGACAAGTTTGCTAACCATTACACCATGTCAAAGTGCCCATTTTATTTCATTAATGTGGGACATTTGAAAATTATTTTTTTTTATCTTTATAAATAAAAAAAAATATAGTGATACCAAAATTTAACCTCCTACACCCCCCCTCACTCAATTAAATCTTTTAAAAACATATTGTAAGATAATGTCACTCAAGTTTTAAAATGTTATCCTTGAATTAAAAAATTAAAAAGTTTTAAAATATTGTCCTTGGATTAAAAAAGAAAAAATGTCATGTTTGTTATGACAATCTTGTTGATAATTTCATTTAAGCACATGACGAATAAAAAATATTTTTCTACCTTCAATTTGCAGTTTATAAAATGTAATTTTTATGTTTAAAATAAATTGAATTTCTTCCTTCTGAATTTGTACAGTGGTTATTTTATATTTCATTGTCATAGTAATAATCTTTCTCTCACTCACACACACATATTATTCAATAAGATGGGTGAATTGCATAGATTTACTGAAACGACATTTCATCTTCATAAGAATTGAATCCAGGATTTGACAAAGTTTTACTGAAAAAAAAGAAATGTTGTGGCAAATGGATGGCTCTTCTTTTGATGCTGCTGTTAATGTATACGTTCTCAATAGTTTTCGTTTTAAAATTTTTTTTTTTTTGTAAGTAAACATTCAAATAAATGGTGTTTAACATTTTCGTTGTCACTTTTCAGGAAAAACTAAAGGATAAGTCCAGATGTTCTCTACTTATTTTAGTGAATTTATGTGGAAAGAAATGCTGAGAAAATGCATTTTTTTCAAAATTTATAATTAGTTATCTGTCCTTATGGCTAAACTTTCTTGTTCAGACATTTTTATAAATTTATGGATAAAAAAACTTTTTCATAATTATTTCTTTATAAAATGGTAAATGATAAATATTGTTGACTTTTTTTTTTTTTTTTTTGTAAATCATTTCACCCCAAGCAAGCCACGAGGATGCAAAGTGGTTACTTGTTGTTAGAGAATATGAGAAAAACTTACTATTAAGGAGAGAGGACAATAAAAGAACAAGAATTAAGAAGACAGCAGATAACAATCGACATTGCATTTAAATTTTTGGTGATCAAAGTTGACTGGGAAGCAAGAAGCCAAGAGTTCCACAAGTAAGAAGTACGAGAATAGAAACTGTTAGTGTAGAACTAAGTTATATCT